CTCCAACATCCAATGCGTCGCCGTCAGGTGCAATCTCTCCGTCCTCGAGATGCACAACGCCCGATCCTCTCTCTCGGGAACGCATATGTGAGGATGAACGTGACGCTTTCCTTGTCGAGGCCTTCTACCTTGCCCGAGAAAGACTTGCCTTTGCGGCTCTCGTAGCATGGACATCAGACGTCTTCGTCGGCAAAGCACTCCCGTGTCGGTCCTCAAACTCGGCCATGGCGGTGTGCCGAGCACCATCCACACTCCCAATGGATCGTTTCCCCATAGACGGTGCAGATGGCCTACCAACATTCCGGACTCCCTRCTCATCCATCCCCCCAGTACTCTTCCTGCTGGCATAAAATGCCACTGTCGGCAAAACAGTGGCTCTGTCGCGCCGTGCTGTCGCCGATGACCCAACCACAAGCTGTTCTGTCGCGTCTGCGCCACTGTTTGTGACGGGGACGCCCGCATCTGCGCCGACAGCCGCGGCAATCGGATGATGCTCTAAGTTTGACGGCGAACTTGGATGTCTTGCTTCTCTTTCGAGTGTGTCAACTGGCCCACCATGAGACCCTTCCTCTGCGCCGTCAAACGAAAGAGAAAGACTGCGTTGTGCGATGCTGCGCTGACCGTCGCGGCGGTGTCGCGTCGCCGTCTCTGCCAAACCAAGGGCCACCTCGCGTAGTTTGCCAACACGAAAAATTGAGGGCGTGGCAGACACCATTTGGCTCGTAATCATATCGGCAATATCGCCTCCTGCCACGTCAAACCCGTCCGATCCACGCTCAATGAGAACAGGCTGTTGTGGCTTGGGCGGTGACACATGGGGTAGACCTGGGGATATCAACGTCGACGAGTCCGGTAGAGAAACGAGCCCAGAGTCCGTGGTCAGTAACTCGCCAGTACCCGGAAGACTGCCGGTGGGGCATGCGAGGCCGACAAGGTCTGCGGCGCTCTGCTCGGCTGCGGGAGTGTGTGAGATATCACGTTCCGGGAGATCGTCGCCTTGACACACAACAACGGTCCCCTGACTCCCCTCCATCAATGCAGGCGGTGGTCGCGGTTGAACACTGCGAGGTGGGAGCATACTTTCTTGCTCCACCGCTGCCAGTGGTTGTCCCACATCCGAGGTCGCTGCAACTTAGACTGCCGCTCCGGCAGACGTGAGTGGATGCAGTGCACTGACAGAACCCTCATCCCGCACTGCCGGGAGAGGACTGATCTCTCCCTGAACCTCGGGATGACGCATCAACGGTGCTGGACCCTGTTGCGATTCTGGGACTGCTGCGGAAGGCCCCATCGGAGCTGTCGCGTGCATACTCGAAGTGTCACCTCGTGGATGACCGCTCCCGCCATGCAGCTCGATCCGCTCCTCGCCGCCGTGATTGCTTAAAGAGTCCTCAGAAACTGGAATTTGCCCAGTTGCGGGGACTTGTGATAGTGGAATGCTAGCAACCCCACCATGACGTTTGCGCACACGTGAAGCGATAGTGTCTTTTTCCCTTGGTCCGCGTTTCAAGCGCCTCAGGTCACCGCCCGAGACAGGTCGTGAACCATCATCATGCACTCCATCTCGAGCGTCATCTAATGTTGTGCGGTGCTCGCCCCCTGCCCCGTCGGCGCGCATCGTGTCACCATGTGCTGGTCGTGGCCTATCTCCTCCGTCACCGTGATCATCGCCACTGGCACCATCGTCGTCGCCCACATTCGGGTGACGGTCGTCATAATCGCTGTCGCCATCCTGTGCAGGCCTGCCATTCCCGAAGAAATCCTCGTCATCGCTGGACGAGCTCTCGTACAAAAAGTCTCCCTCCTCCCATCGCTGTCGAGGCTTGCGTACTAGCTCGTCCACTGCCCTTCCACGACTCGCTACACGACGACTCTCGCCAGGACCTCCACGCCCGCCTCGCTCGCGAACGCCCCGACGACCACCTCTGCGACCGCCGCCACGACACCTCCTCCTGTCAGACTCCCGCAAGCGACGAGTGGCTCCCATGCGGGACACGACGCGCATCCTCTCTCTCGCCTGCGTCAACTCCTCCTTCGTGACCGTCACACGGGCTCCTCGGTCTRCCACAAGYWGCTGGTCGGTGGGCACCTCCTCCTCCACCTGCTGCCAGTAGTGCACCCAGCTCCCATACGGATGTGGCCTGTCACTGGGAGCATCGTCCGACATAGCCTGCCTGTCGAGGAGCCGAAGGTTCCAATGGCATCGCACGAGCTTCTCGGCCCGCGCCACCTCCAATCTGTTACGAGATTTGGAGTGGATGAAACTCCAACGGGACCAAGCTCTCTCGCAAGGCGACGCAGTCGCCCACACACGCAGTATCCTGCCAGCGAAGAAGGCCGTGTGCGGGAACCTCTTCTCCTTCGACTCCCAGAAACATGCTGGATGGGTATAGCTCCTCGCTGCCCGGTCCATGGCCACATCGTCAAACGGCGGCTCACTGGAATCAAACTTGTCAATGGCAGTGAGGACCTCGAAGTGCTGCATCTCCTCGTCATCTGGCATCGTGCGGTCTCGAAACTCGGGGTCCAACATCATGGCAGCAACATGAGCAGGCGATTTGAACATGGTGCGGCGTCTGTCAAATACTTCAAGCATCGCGTCCTGCTCGTCCTTCTCCAAAGCGGCACATGCAGACAAACAACGCGCGATCATCTCGTCGTACTGACGCAGAATCTTGCCAATCTGCTCGTCATCTGGCATCGTGCGGTCTCGAAACTCGGGGTACCCAGACTGAATTAGAGCGAGTTTTAAACCGTGCTGCATCTCCTCGTCATTTGGCATCGTGCGGACTCGAAACTCGGGGTCCAACATCATGGCAGCAACATGAGCAGGCGATTTGAACATGGTGCGGCATCTGTCAAATACTTCAAGCAGCGYGTCCTGCTCGTCCTTCTCCAAAGCGGCACATGCAGACAAACAACGCGCGATCATCTCGTCGTACCGACGCAGAATCTTGCCAATCTGCCTCGTGTCGCTGTCCACCATCTGCAGCATGTCCATGATGGGATCCAACAACTTGCACAGCGCTCTCATATCCTCCCACCATTGAGGACAACCGAACCATGCTGTGACCTCCGCGGCGTCGTCTCGAATCTTCTTCGTTGACCAAACAGTGTCCTTCCATCGATCATCAACGACCACCTGCATAAGATGTGATTGCAGCAGAAGAAGTCGTCGCATCATAATCACATGCGTACCGAAGCGAATCTCGGCGGGAAGCAGCAGAGCCTTGCAGCAGAAGAAGTCGTCGCATCATAATCACATGCGTACCGAAGCGAGTCTCGGCGGGAAGCAGCAGAGCCTTCGTCGTGAAAGCTTGCAAAACTTCGCGAGCGTGGCTATGACGCTTGAAAAACTTTGTGACCAAACGCGCCTGAGCAATGCGGGKCGCCACCCAGTCAATGCTGCCGATGTCCTCAAGGATGAGGTCCATGACGTGTGCCACACAAGGAATCCAGAAGATGTGCTTGACACTCTCATCCTTCTGGAACACCTCCATCGCAGAAACGTTCGAAGTSGCAGAGTCTGTGACGAAAGCGGTGATGTCGGCGAGCTTGATGTCAAGGGACTTCAACCTTCGCAGCCAAGCCTGCGCCAGAGCAGTGGCATCCTTCTTTCCTCGCATAACATCTGTCGCGACGTATGTGGCGCCCCGTGTAGTGCCGACGAGATAGTTGCACAACGTTTGGCCCCGAATGTTCGTCCAACCGTCTCTCATTATCGTGCAACCGTAGGTAGCTGCAGTAGCGAGGACAGGTTTCACACACATTTGGACTTCCACATGAAGCTCATCCAAAAGTGTGGTACGGATCATGTGATACGTTGGGGGTTTTGGGGTGGGGACTCCTGGAACCCCAGGCGGGATGATCAACGTCAACATGCGTTTGAAGCTCTCAAGCTTCACACAGTTGAACGGCATGCCGCTCTCGACAATGAATCGCATGATCTGCAGGTGCCATGCGTGCTCCAGCGGGTCGTTGTAATACGAGGTCA